TGCAGTTCTTTCTGAAGGAATACTCATAGAGGGTCCATATTCAAATCCATGTTTAACTTTTTAGCAAAATGCTTTATCCGGATGATCCATCGTCAGATGAACCTCATATAGCACTTTCCAATGTTATCCATCCTGATTGTCGCGTAGAGAACATTTTCAAAAATACCAAAGACAAATTGAACATTTTTAAATTAGCGGATATACCAAAATTGAAAGACCATTCGCTGAAGCGGTGGCGTGAGTGGGATAAAAATGCTGCAGCGTAAGTGCTTTACTTCTGATTTTGTTTGAAATTTTGAAAAAGCGTATTTGTCTTCTTTTTTTCATTTAATCTGTATTAAAATATTGGATTTTGCCTTTTTTTACAATTTATATTAAGGATCTGGAATTCTTCATTCGGTCCAAGAAATGCTTTCGAAGAAATGATTGAACTGACGAAAGAAGGAAAAATGTGGCCTTATCCAATCGATAATGAATATCAGATTGGCGACGAAGAAGACGTAATCATCATTTTTGCTTTTTAAAGCGTCGCAACTGTTTTATTATTTTTTGAGTCAATTTCTTCAAATCAGTTATGTTCTAAAAAGCAAATTTTAAAAAATTCCAGGTTGGTTTTTACGACCACATATTTTTGGATAAATATCTTGCTCAGTACAATTTACCGGAAGAAGGACCCGTCGCACAATTTATGGAACTAGTTTGTATAGGATTATCCAAAAATCCTTACATGTCTATCAAGAAAAAACATGCCCATCTTGATTGGTACTTTTCGTGCTTAAATTGAAACTTAACGCGAAAATTTTTTATTCTTTTATTACGATTACAAAATCCACTGCATATCAAAAATTACTCCTTTCAATCAAATACGTGGCATTTTTGTCGAATTTTAATAAAGTTAGCACGATTAATAGACTTTTCTTGTCCCCAACATCTATTATTTTTTATTCGAAATAGATATTTTTGTTTTTTAAAATTATAGGTTTGCTAACTATTTCAAGGAGAAAGCAGAAGAAATTAGACGGATCCAGGAAAGTGCTGGTGTGTCGGTGGAAGGTTCGATTTAAATTTTTTATTCTACTCTTTTTGAATTTCGATTCGAAATATCCGAAATTTTCAAGTAATCTGGAAAAGTATTTTCTCAATTTCGGACAGCAATTTCAATATGGATTTTCACTGTAAGAGATTCAGTTAAACACTACGAGATTAATAAAGTTGTTGCTGTGAAACCCTGGAGCTGTATGATGCTGTTGGCATCATCTTTTTTTAAAAAATTTTTGTTTTACTGATACTGGTTATGTTTCCTTTCGTATGTACCTTTGTGATATTGATAATCCGATAAATTTTTATTACACTTCCTTGTACATATAATCTTGATCTATTTTCCCTAGTTTATAGAGTGTTATTGAATCTATTTCATTAAAAATGAACTGCTATTACCATCAGCTCATGTACCGCCACTGTAAGATAATTTTTCGTTTTTTATCGATGAATGCAGTGATCACTAACTGCATGTTCCCGTCAAATAATCAAATTTCAAATTTGAAAAGTTGTAAAGCTTTATGAAGATTAAAAATTGAAAAACTTTTTGAAGACTACAATACCTCCCTATCAAAAAACTATGCTGTCATTATTTTCACTTAAATTGCTTAAAAATTAAAAATTTTGAAGAGGATGTAAATTTTATATGAAATGAGAATGTTGAAAATTTAAGGATTTGAAACGACAATATCATTCTGAATAGAGAAAAAATATTTGGATTGGATTTTTTTTAATGAGTAAATATTTTTAACCTCAAAAATTAACCTTCCTAAATTTCATTCAATTAGAAAAATAACTAAACAGTTAGTTGTTAAATCTTTTATAGCGGAAATTACAAAGGTTAACTAACAATGAAGAGAGAATGTCACAACAATAAGAAGTATTAGTAGTAGTTGGTGGTGGTGGTGGTGGTGGTGGTGGTGGTGATGATGGTAAGTATTAGCGGTGGTGGTTGTTGTTGATGAGTGGGATGGCATCCTTCCCGATCAGGGTCACTTTTCTGCTCCCTTCCACAGATTTGGTGTCTTTGTCAAAGATAATACAAAAGGAGAGATGCATGAGGTGTATATTGGAAAGGTTAAGGCACGCGTCCTTTACCTCTCTTCCTCCTCCTTCAACCACCATCCATCCTCTTGACGCATTTAACTTAAACGGAATGCAACTGTGATTTTATATTGTTAATGATGACGATGATAATAGTGGTGGTGATGATGAAGAAGATGATATATGGTACAGATAGTATAGTATAGTATAATATAGTATGGTGAGATGATGTACTGTACAATCTATTTCTCATTCTCATTTCTCTCCTTTTTTTTGCTATTTGAAAGAATTGAAAGTGATCCAATTTCTTTTCTTTGTCATATTGTCGTTCAAGAGGAGGAGGATGGTGCTGGTAGTGATGAAGATGATAATGGGATGAGGCCATCTTCTATTGACCAATGACCTGACCTGTCTCTTTACTACATCGCTCTTCATCCAATACATACATATAATGACAACTTAACGCACACAACTTATGGATAACAGTCGGCGGATGAGACAAACACATACACACATACACACACACACATACACACACACACAGACACATACACACGCACACTCTTATCGTATTGATCTCATTTGAACTGCTTCCATTCGGCCATTACACTTCTCCATGTCCATTTGAAAGTAAGTTAGTGAAGCGTAACAGTGATTTATTACCCTATTCTGTTTTATTGGTCACTATTTTTGAATAATAATTGAATAGTTTAATTAATTAGCATGAAAGAATTGGGTGAATATAATTGGAGTAGATATCTTCCTCACTAATTTACTCTATTCGATTATAAAATTCAATTATAAAATATCTCTTTTTACTTAGTTAAGATTATGTCTTTTCAAAATATTCATTACCATAAAATGTTCAAAATTAAAATTTCTTCTTTTTCAGTTCATTGCATTTTTTTTTTTTTGATTAGAAATATCTTTTTTTGTAATTTATGTTCAAATGATATTAGGCGCGGCACACCAAAACCATATGGTAATATCCATTCATTTAATTCATCCATCTTTCCTTTCCTCTCTTTATTGAACGAAATTCGATAAGTGGTTCTTTTTTTTTTTGTTTTGTGCGATTGACTGACTGAATAAGTACGTTATATTCTTTTAAACGATGTGTGTGTGTGTGTGTGTGTGTGTGTGTGTGTGTGT